CAGGGGCCTGGTGGACACGAGTCCCAGGTCCAGGATCATCCTACAGAGCCCACAAGTCTGAAACTCAAACGGCTATAAAACAAGTTTTTTTATAAATTGGGTGTAAAACGTATCTGGCGAAACATCACTTGACATGGAGCTTTTTTTTTTTTTTTATATTGATCTGAGAGAGAGAGAGAGAGAGAAACATTGATGAGAGAGAACACCAACTGGCCGCCTCCTACATGCTCCCGGCCCACGACCTGGGCATGTGCCCTGACCGGGAAGCGAACCGGGACCTCCCAGTGCATGGGTTGACACCCAACCACTGAGCCACACCAGCTGGGCAACATGCAGCTATAAGACTTTAGTTAGCCCACTTGGTTTTAACACAGGTGCATTCTGCTCCATGATTATTGTAGTCCTGTGGTCCAGGGGGCTGAGACTGGAATGAAGTGGGAAGTTATCTGCTTTTTTCTTTTTAAATTTTTTCTTTATTGATTTTTTTTCTTTATTTTTTTATCTTCACCCAAGGACATTTTTCCATTTTTTGTTCAGAGTGGGAGGGAGAGAGAGATAGAGAAACATCAACGTGAAAGGGACACATAGAGTGGCTGCCTCCCACATGACCCAACCAGGGCCAGGGATAAACTGCAACCAAGGTACGTGCCCTTAGCGGGAACCAAACCCCGGTCTCTCTGGACCATAGGCCGACGCTCTAACCGCTGAGCCAAACCAGCCAGGGCTATCTGCTTTTTTTCAGTGTACAATGTATTGTGTGCCCATTTCTGTATTGGTACATGTGGTGCTACTGTGGACCAAAAGGGGCCACATGCTGACCTGACAAGCTTGGGAAGACCTGCCTGACAGCCTTGCAAACTCAAAGACCTAAAGTAACCACAAAGGATGGTTCGAAATGTAAACTTTTAAAATAACAGCAGTTCCTGGCAGGTAGTGATGTCCTAGGCTGACATCTTCCCTGACAAAGGTCAATTTTCACCTTAATGGAGCTTATTGTCTTTTTGCATCTAAGATAACGTACCTTTGCAAAGTGAGGTAACTTCCTTTTTTCCCAGACCCCTCAGGGCACAATCTATGCTCCAGCATGGAAACCACAAATCTCCTCTTCGTTATCATGTTAATCATTGACTTTTAAGTGTACCGACTTTTGTAAAAGAAGTATGTCTATCACTTTACTCTCTATCCAATCCCGGAGAATTCCCAGTTTTGCTTCTCCCACCTCCCTAATCTATCACCAGTGGATTTCTTAAGCCTTCTCTTTTGATTGTAATGCCTAAAATAAGGTGCAAAACTGCCATTCTCTGGAGCATTATCTCAAGGCCTCAAGGTTTTGTTTCCTGCATTTGTCCACAGTTTGGCTTAAATAAACTCACAAAATTCACCGATTTAAACATTTTTTAAAAATATATTTTTATTGATTTTTTTTTTTTAGAGAGAAAGGAAGGGAGAGAGAGAGAAACATCAATGTGAGAGAGAAACATTGCTTGGCTGCCTCCTGCACGCCCCCCCACCCCCCCAGAGATCGAGCCCGCAACCTGGGCATGTGCCAGCGATTTCTCAGTCCATGGGACGAGCTCAATCCACTGAGCCACACCAGCCAGGCTGAACGTTTTTTGTGTTTTTTGTTTTTAATCCTTACCCGAGGACACTTTTGCACTTATCTTGAGATAGAGAGAGAGGGAGAGGAGGAACAGAGAGAGAGAAACATCAAGTGGTCGCCACCCACATGATGCTAACCGGGGCCTGGGACAACCAAGGTACATGCCCTTGGTGGAAACCGAACCCGGGACTCTGGTCCGCGGGCCAATGCTCTAACCACTGAGCAACCGGCCAGGCTAAACGTTTCTTACACTGACACTACCACCTTTCTTTAAAATCTGTTGTGGCCCTGATGGTGTTGCTCAGTGGATAAGCCTTGTCCCATGCACAGAGAGATCCTGGTTCAATTCCCAGTAGAGGTACATGCCTTGGTTTTGGGCTCAATCCCCAGTAGGGGGCGTGCAGGAGGCAGCTGATCGATATTTCTCTCACATGAATGTTTCTCTATAAAAAATCAATGAAAATATATTATTTTAAAAACTCTGCTTGTTCCCTCTTGAACAGAATATATTTAAGACATTTGTAATGTAGTTTAATTGGTCAGTACTGACATGAATATACCCAATATTCGCATTTTTTTGAAGTTTAAACCAGTGTTGAAGAAAACATCTTTGTATGTCTTTTTTTCTGTATATATTTTTGAATATTTGTTCAAATTATATGTGTGTTAAAGAAAAAATTCAACCGAGTAAATTTTATTATTTTTTAAAATATATTTTTATTATTTTTTTCAGAAGAGAGGAAGTGGGAGACAGAAACACAGATGTGAGAGAAAGTTGAGCCACTGTCTCCTGCACGCCCCCTGGGCATGTGCCCTGAGCAGGAATCGAACTAGCAACTTCTCGGTGCGTGGGATGACTGTCAATCCACTGGGCCACACTGGCGGGGTACAGCTGAGTAAATTTTAAAGATATTATTGGCTTTATTCAACAATTCAATAGGCAACATTCAGTCTTGCAGGTAGAAGCAAGCTCGGAAGAGCTGTACAAAATGAAAGGCTTTTATAGGTAGAAGGGAGCGGGAAGTTATAGACCAAAAAGCTGGTCAGTTTTTGCAAGGGTTCTTCCCTTGCAAAAGCTGGGTCCTAGCAGATGACCTCACCGGTGCTGATCAGATGATTCCTGATTGGCTGGTTTAAAATTCTACTTCTGGGAAAGCTGAATTTAATTACTTCTCAGTTTGATGACCTGAGGTTTACCATAAGTAATTCTTTTGGGGCCTTTTTTTTTCTTTTTAAATCAATTTTAGAGAGAGGAAGGGGGGAGAAATAAAAGAAAGAGAAAAAAAGAAGAGAGGAAAGAGATTTTTGGTGTATGGACAACACTACCTCCCCAAGTCAAAACTTTTTTTCAGTCTTACCAATACAAAAGGGGCAAATTTGTCATTCTTAGATTATTAATAAGTTTCTGCGTTTTTTTATGACTTCTGCCTCTCCACTTTTTCTACACAGGAAGTTGTTTTTTGTTTTACATTATTGTAGGTATTCTTTACTTAGAAATTATATTTTACTAGTAAATACTGAAAATAGTTTTTCCTGGTTTTGTTTATATTCCATTTGTATGTTACAGATGTTAATTATTGTCTGCATCTATTTCACAAATGAAGCTTCTGTAGCACTTAAGTGTTGTGAAGGGGAAGGGAATATGCCACCATAAAAGATGCCTCTTTGGCATAAGGATTAATTGGGGCTGATTATTTTTGAAAGGCTGATGCTGGGGAATCTCTTAAAACAGTGTAGAAGTTGCCCTTTGTGAGGGAGATTTACATTTATAAGGGAATATCTATTTGTAGGGTGTTTCTCTCTACCAGGAAGAAGAATCTAAAGCTCTAGGAACTCTTTATCAAAGGAGAAGGCGCCCACTTAAATCTGCCTAACAATCTTTCCCTTGTTTATTCTGCTTTGCTTTATACCCTCCCATAACTGCCCCACCCCCAACATCTCTCCTTTAGTCTTTAGCTGAAGACATATAAGGTGATGGTTTAGGCCATTTTGGGGACTTACTCTGTGTCCTGGGTCTCTCCTATGTATATAGGAGGTATACATGTTATTAAACTTGTTTTTCTTTTGTTACTGTTTTTTATTACAATAACTAAGAACCTAGGAGGGTAGAGGGACAGTTGTATTTCCTTATAGAATATACTGTAGAGGAGTAAGAATGAAAAACAGCAAACTAAATATGGTAAGTGTGAATTCTGAGCCATCATAAATACTGTGTTTCCAGCCTCAAAATTGACGGGGATTTCCTTAACTTATACTCATAAGAAAAAAATTTTATAGTGATATTATTATTCATATATACCTGATTCTAACAGTTTGGGATTGTAGGGGAGGAAAAATTGTCCTTCTACCATTCCAGGTTCTGTGGCTGGTCTAAGAATTAAAATGGACATAAAATACATTAATGAGAAAAATAAGCATTTTAATTATTCTTTTACATGCAGGAATTTCACAGATTTGAGATTCCACGGGTGGCCAGTTGACATTGCTATACCATCCTGAGGTGAGTAAGGGGCTAGGACTCGGGGGCTTCTGGGGTTGGGGAAAGCAATTCACTGGAAGAAGAGGAAACGTTTGGTAAACAAAGGTTGTCCTATTAAGCAGATAAGTCTTGTAGGTGAAAAAGTTATCTCTGGTAATAGTTCTCCTCCCACTAGAAAAGCCCCATTTCCAGTGTAAATGTCCTTTATAATTGCTAATTCCACCTACAAATGGGGACATTTATACTTTTGGGGGTAGCTAAGGAGGAGCTTAAGGGTTTTCCTGGGTCTACTGGGTCTTCATTACTTTCAGCACAAAATAATAAACATCCAAAATGGCATATTGGGGGTGTCATACTCTGAACTCCTTCAGGATGTAAAACAAATTCTCCCAAGCTACACGGCTCGGGAACCAAGGCTGTGTTGCAGATTGGGTGTGGTACCTCCATCTGTCCCAGAGCCTGTGCCCTGCCCTTGCCCCAGGTGGGGTGAATGGAAAATAGATGATGTGGACAGTGGTGGACAGTGGGGCCCAGTGGGTGAGAGTAGATGGGGCACCATGATAGAAGCGTGAGAATGAAGGACTGGGACTAGGAGAGGGTACTCCGTATTTGACTGGAATGTGGTAGTGGGCAGGACTTGAAGTAAACCCAGGATTTTGTTGTTTGTTTGGTTCGTTTTAAGGAAGAAATATCTTCTCACCCACAGCCACTATTGATTTTGAGGTAATGACTGTTCTGACCAGGACAGCTGCTTAGCTTGGCTTGGTTTTCCCAGAACTTCCAAACCTGGAGTGGTTGTCCAGCTGAGCTGTGACTGGCTGCAGGCTGGGGCAAGGGCTCCTCTTGGCAGGAGGAACTAGAAGGCAGGCTCACAGGACGCACAGGCTACCAGCAAGGTGAAAACTGAGATTTTGGGGTGTCTCTACTTCTCACTGCAGAGCCCAGCTCCCTGAAGAAGGCCCACCTCAGTCCAGTCCTTCACTGAGGGCCCAATGGCGGTTGAAGCAGCTCTGGCAGGACTCCGGGCAGAGGTCAACTGTCCCATCTGTCTGGATGACCTGAGAGACCCTGTCACCATCGAATGCGGGCACAACTTCTGCCGCCCCTGCATCCAGCAGTCCTGGGCTGACCTACAGGACAGGTTCCCTTGCCCTGTGTGCCGTCACCCGTGCCAGGACAGGCACTTGAGGAGCAACACCCAGCTGGGAAGGATGGTCGACATTGCCAAGCTCCTCCAGATCACCAGGAGCAAGAAGAAGCGTCAGCAAGAGAGGCACTTGTGTGAGAAGCACAGCCAGGTCCTGACCCTCTTCTGTGAGGAGGACCTAGAGGTGTTGTGTCCCCTGTGCACTGAGCCCCCTGACCACCAGGGCCACCAGGTGAGGCCCGTGGAGGAGGCTGCCGCTCATCACAGGGAAAGGCTCGGCAGTTACATCGAGCCCCTGAAGAAGCAGGTGGAAGACGTTCAGAGGTTAATAAGCATTCAAAACAAAAAACCCTTAGAACTGAGAGAGAAGGTGGAAAACCAAAGGCTGGAATTACTCTCTGAATTTGAGCACCTGAGGCGGTTTTTAGACCGTGATCAAGAAGTAGTTCTGTCAAGGTTAGCTGATGAAGAAAAGGCTATTGAAAAGAAACTCAGCGCTAATATAACCGCCTTTTCAGAGTACAATTCCACACTCAAAGGTCTACTAAGTAAGGCGATCGAGAGCAGCGTGCTGCCGGAAGTGGAACTGCTGCTACAAATGAAAGATTTCTACAAGAACTCGGAGCAGTTCAGCCCATCGATCTTTGCCGTTCAGTTAAGGAGAGACGGCTGCAGTTTTCCTTTCCAGTATTCTGCTTTGCAGAAAATCACAAAGACATTTAGAGTAGATGTAATTCTAGACCCTGAAACGGCACACCCTCACTTGATTGTCTCTGAGGATAAAAAATGTGTGAAATATACAAAGAGAAAACAAAACGTTCCTGATTTTCCAAAAAGATTTACAGTCAACACAGTTGTCCTGGGCTTTCCGTATTTTCACTCCGGCAGGCACTTCTGGGAGGTGGACGTGGGAGAGAAATCCAAGTGGGCTGTCGGGGTTTGCAGAGACTCTCTGTCCACAAGGTCGAGGAGGAGCCCGTCGGCCTCTCGGGGCTGCTGGAAGGTTCAGTGGCAGGGAGCTGGCTATGACGTGCCCAGAGCTGGCACAGCCCGCTTCCTGGCAGCAGAGAAGCCTAGAAGCATTGGCATTTTCCTGGACTATGAGATGGGCGAGATCTCATTTTACAACATGACTGACAAATCTCATATCTATAGTTTCACGGACACTTTCAATCGACCTCTCAGGCCTTACTTCTACATAGGACCCGATTCAAAACCTCTCAGAATCTGCGCAGGAACAGACTGAATGAACACTTTCTAATAGACTGGACCAGTTTAATAGTTGTCTTTTTTTGTTTGCTTTTTTAATGGAAGGTGGGTATTAATACAACGATGAGTATTGTATTAATATGACAGTAGATCTAACTCCCCCTCACAGTTGCTCCCCTCAAGAAGAAAGTTTCATTATGTTTCAACAACACAGGACAGACAGCGGCAGTCCTCCAGGAGCTGAGGCTGTCCACCTCTTCTCCCACGTCCTGCCACAAACTTGGTTCAAGCTCTACAGTTCTCATGATCTTCCGTTGCTTTCTTTACTCATGGATTTGCCTGGAATTCCTAAAGCCACCTTCCCCTCTAGGTGCTCTGACCTGGAGCTCCCACAGAAACTTTGGACTCACTTCCATCATTTCACTGAGCCAGGCCCAGAAACCCTGGTCCTCTTAGGCTCCTAACCCGGGTCTGCCAGTCATTTTTGTACCCATGATGCTAACACAGTATTTGCCTGATTAATAGCACACTTAACAGGGAAATTACTTTGATCATTTTTCTGTTTTGCTGGGTCAGTACTTAGTTTTATTTTCTTTTATTGTTTGCAATGTTCATTATTGAGTTTAAAAAGAGTGTTGGCAGGCACCTAGCTGACATAATAGAACCTGAGTATGCTAACGTTTTAACTGTGCCTTTTTCTCTGTAAACCAAAGTTCATCTCATAAACCTTAGAAACTGATTAGCTCCAAATTGAATTTAAAGATAAATAAGAATTAAACATCTACCATCACTGTTTTCTTTTGAAATCAAAAACAGCTGATGGCAAAGTTTACAGACTCTTCCAGAACAGAGACAGATTTCCAGAGAAGGCAATGGTTTCGAGATATACTTAATAAAAAGGAAGAAATAAAAGGGGGGTTGAGGTGGGGGGGGGGGTCAGGAAACTTAGGGATGACTTGAATGTTAAAAATACAGTTTGGCTTTAGTCTGTGAGTTTATCATTTTGGGGACTCAATGGCACTTATGCCTGCAGATGACACACCATCACCTTCACCTTAGTAGAAACCTCTCAGAGTGCCCCACAATGGCCGTAGCCAAACAGGTGTTTGCCCTTCTTAAGTAACAGTGGGTGTAACCACATGACTACATCCTTTGCCAGATGGTCATGTCTAGGTTAAGGGTTTTTAAACCAAATATTGATTGTTCAGCTAAATACAATAAAATTTAAGAATAAATAAAATAAATTAGTAGCATAGATTATTACAGATATCCCCTCCCTGCGTTCATCTTTCAACCAAGTCTTTCTAAGGCAGCCTGTTAAGGCGCCAAGAGCAAACTGATAAAGGAGCACAGTAGGAAAACTACAGTAGAATGCCATTTACTCATAAAAATGCTTCCCTTTATCTGGAGATTTGGATGTTTCATATCAGTATAGCAGTTCATAGGGCTTTTTATGCCCATCGTCATTTTTATAATCCAAGGCTAAATGAGGTGTCCTTTTTCTCTTTTGAGACAAAAAGCCACAGAAGATGCCTTTCCTATCACTGAGGTTATTGATCCACTGAAGGTATATAGTCAATACTGAAATGCATGGCATGTTCTTGAAGGGCAAAAATAAAGTTTGAGGTCTTCTACACTGTTGAAGTGGAAGGTGCTGTAGTGGAACGGGCCACTATGGTTATGTCTAACTGGTCAGCGCAACACTGATCCAAGTCATCTTGTCTTATTTCTGAAGAATGGAAAACTGTAGGAGTGTTCATAGTAAATCATTTAGTAAGAATTTGATCCTATAGTGAGAAAACTTTTTATAAAAGCTACAGGGGCCAAGCTGCCATTCAATACCACACAAGCATATAAAATATAGATAAGGCTCCATCGGAAGAAACAACATAAATGACTCCCCTCAGCAGTTGAAAAGGGGGAAGAACTTACTTGATCAAATTCCTGTTCTGAAATCATTGGCACATAAGCCTCCCTCTATAAATAGCCAAATTATTACAGGGTTCTTATGTCCTGTAGAAGAAAAGAAGTGTTGGATCAACTCTACCTTTGATCCTAGGATAAACCAGGCAGTTAAGTCATTCCAAAATGCAAAACAAACATTCTTGAGTGACCGAGGCTCTACCAATCACCTTCACATGATCCACAAGCCCTATCAAATAGCCACACAGGTGAGAACCAAATTCAGGTTTCCAACCAAAACTAAAATGTTATTTGGCAAAAGCTGCCATTTTCTAAGACAGCTTGCTGGACGTTCAGTCTTCCATTAGTCTGGATCCCTCTGCAGCTGCTGTCTTGACACTGAACTCTCACACTCTACTTGGGTGAGAGCCTAGGTCCGAGGAAGTGAAAGCCAACAGCCGCTTACTCAGCAGCGCATTGTGTCGCTTCAGGTATACTATTATGTCTCCTTGCTTTTCGACAATTTCTTCTAGGCTTGAAATAGTCCTGCAAAGAATCAAAATATTAATGGGTTACACATATTCACCAATACTCATTAATCTCTGCAAATGGGTCCCTACCCGTTGAAAACTGGTGAAAGTACAGCATGTTACATGGGATACTTTCTCGTAGATATTATAAGCCAGGGCAGTATTCCAAAATAAGATTCTTCCATTCTACTGGGTTTCACCACAGCCAAGGAAGTAGCATCAAACCTAATTCTAAAGGCGCAGATGCAGTCATGATCTCCAACCACGATGGTTTCTAGATTTCCAGGGGGAATCCTCTTTCTCCCAACTTTTACTTCCCACCCAAAGCTTACCTGAATCCAGTCTCTGAAGTAATATTGCTGGGGTAAGCACAGACTTTTTCCTCTTCAAGTATATCAGGCTGTGGTTTGGCTTTATTAAATTTTCGAATCTTCCCTAAAACAATAAAGTCATTGTCAGGTTATCTAACTAGAAAAATGTTTCTATTTCCATTTCTTCAAGGTAAAATGCATAACAATGCCTCATAAAGAGAATAAACTGGTCCATTTATTGATGTACTCAAACATTTGAAAGTCTACCATATGCCAAGCCTTACTAAGCGATAGGAACACAGTGATCATTGCTATTACTGATAATAACAGGTATCATTTTTATTTTATTTTTCAATTTTTATTGATTTTTTTTTTTTTTTTTTTTTAGAGGGAGAGGATGGGAGATGTAGAAACATCTATTTGAGAAAGAAACATCAATCAACTACCTCCTGCACGCCCCTACTGGGGATTGAACCTGCAACCCCAGGCATGTGCCCTGACCAGGAATTAAACCCAGACCTCTTGGTCCATGGGATGATGCTCAATCCACTGAACCACACTGGCTGAGCTCAATTTTATTTTATTTACAGTGATACCTCGGTTCTCGAACGCCTCGGATTTCGACCAAATCGGTATTCGACCAGGAGATTCGAGAAACTTTTGTCTTGGAATCCAAACAAATATTTGGAACTCGAACTTCCGCGATGAGCCGAGTTGAGCCGAATGGCGTTCATTCGGCCCAGCGCGCCTTGCTTGCGTCATCAGTGTGAGTGCAGAGAGAGAGTCACGCTTTGTGGAGAGAGTCACGCTTTGTGGAGAGAGTCACGCTTTACACTGAATTTAACCCTTAGACATACTGTACACTTTTATTTCTTGTTGAGACTTATTTTTTTCTACATATTATATACAAATTAGGCCAGTAAATAGGCATTTTCTGGGGCTTGGAACGAATTAATCTAGTTTCCATTATTTCCTATTGGGTTTCATTGCTTCGGTTCTCAAACAATTTGGTTCTCGACCGTCCTCCTGGAATGAATTATGTTCGAGAACCGAGGTATCACTGTATTTATTTTTTGGTACGTGCCCCTAGCAGGAACTGAACCCAGGACTCTCTAGTCTGCAGGCTAATGCTTCAACCTCTGAGCCAAACTGGCCAAGGCTCAATTTTATTTTTATATTTTTTATTTTCATTATTATTATTTGTTAATCCTCACCCAAGGATCTTTTCCCATAGATTTTTAGATAGAGTGGAAGGGAGAGAGGTAGAGACAGAGAGACAGATTAATGTGAAAGAGATACATTGATTGGTTGCCTCCCGCACAACCCTGACCAGGGTTGGGATGGAACTTGCAACCCAGGCACATGCCTGTGACTGGGAATTGAACTGCTGACCCTTCGGTCCATGAGCCAACAGTCTAACTGCTGAGCCAAACTGGTCAGGGCCAGGTATCATTTCTTTGTGGACTAAAAACAAGACACAAGTGAACTGTTTAAAAAAATTTTTTTTGTCCTCACCCGAGGATACTTTTGCGTTTATCTTCAGATAGAGCAGGAGGGAGAGAGGGAGGAAGAGAGAGAGAAACATCGATGTGAGAGAGACACATCAAGTGACAAGTGAACTGTTTTACATGGAAGTCATTCAGTTCTCAGAACCAGCCCCCCAGGTGGGTGCTTTTATTACCCCTTATTTTCTACAGTCAAGTAAAGTACAGCCCCAGGAAGCTAGACAAGTAGCCAGGAAGCAGGGCTCCAAACCCTCTGGACACTACCCTATAAAAAGAGCTACTAGCCCTGGCTGGTTTCACTCAGCGGTTAGAGCGTTGGCCTGCAGTCCAGAGAGACCCGGGTTCGGTTCCCGCTAAGGGCGTGTACCTCGGTTGCAGTTTGTCCCTGGCCCTGGTAGGTTGTGCCGGTGGCAGCCATTCGATGCGTCCCTTTCACATCGATATTTCTCTCTTCCTCTCTCTCCCTCCCACTCTACCTGAACAAAAAATGGAAAAATGTCCTTGGGTGAGGATTAAATAAATAAATGAATAAATAAAAAGAGCTACTAGTCCAGGGAAAAATATAAATAAGCCAAAGACCAAGACACTATAAAAAAGACCATAAACCAGAGCTTGCACAGGGGCTAGGACACCCCTGGAAAGCAGCCCCTTACTCAGCAGTGGTGGGATTCATGTGGGGGGAGGTTCAGAGAGGAGGAAGAGGGTAGGGCTTGAGTTAAAATGAATCTTGACGGAAACAGGAAATTAATCACAGACCAGCAGATTGGAGGTGTTTTACGTGAGGGAGAGCTGGAACAAATCCTTAGGATCCTGAGAAGGGGAGAGAGGGAGGGTATATGTGTGTTTTCTAAAAAAAAATACATATATTTAAAATTTACATTGAGGCAATTAGCTTTAACACAGAAACATAAAACAAGCTATTTTACAATGTAATGTCTTAGTGTCCTAAGTTTTCCATCTCCTCTGACTTAAAGGGGTAGTCAAGATGATACTTTCGGTAGAGTAAGGGCTTGGATGCTGCAATCCTGGAGAAACTCACTGTAGATCAGCTTGAACTAAAAATATTTACGTTCTCCAAACAGGACATACAAATGACTAAGAGACATGTGAAGACATGCTCAACATCACTAATCATCAGAGAGATACAAATTAAAACAACAATGAGGTATCACCTCATACCTGTCAGAATGGCCGCCATCAACAAATCATCAAGCAACAAGTGTTGGCGAGGGTGTGGAGAAAAGGGGACTCTAGTACACTGCTGGTGGGAATGCAGACTGGTGCAGCCACTATGGAAAACACTATGGTGTTACCTCAAAAAATTAAAAATTGAATTGCCATTTGACCCAGTGATCCCACTTGTAGGAATATACCCTAAGAAGCCTGAAACACCAATCAGAAATAATATATGTACCCCCATGTTTATAGCAGCACTATTTACAGTAGTTAAAATCTGGAAACAGCCCAAGTGTCCATTAGTAGACAAATGGATAAAAAAGCAGTGGTACATGTACACAATGGAGTACTATGCAGCTCTAAGAAAGAAAGATCTCTTATCTTTTGAGACGACATGGAGGGACCTGGAGAGTATTATCCTAAGCGAAACAAGTCAAGCAAAAAAAGACAAATATCACATAATCTCACTTATTTGTGGACTATAATAAAAATAACAGTCTGAGGAACAGGATAGACCCAGAGACGTGGAAGTAGGGTACAGACTGACAACCCTCAGAAGGGTGGGGGGGGAGAGATAAACCACAGAACTTATATGCATGTACACATAAGTGATGGGCATGGACAACAAAGCTGGGGATGGGGTGGGGGGGATGGGGAGGATGTCAATGGAGGAAAAAGAAACATCTGTAACAAAAATAAATTAAAAAAATAAATAAAAATTAAAAATATTTACAAAGAACTCAGTGAGCGCTTCCAGGAGTATTGTGCAGGAGGGTTAAGGGAATAGGTTCTGTATTGTGTGTGTTTCATTGTTGGACATTCAAAGTATTGGTCACAAGCCCTGGCCAGTTTGGCTCAACAGTTACAGAGTTGGCCCGTGGACCACAATCCCGGATTCAGTTCCCGCTAAGGGCACATACCTAGGTTTAGTTTGTCCCCAGCCCCGGGGTTGTGTGGGTGGCAACCAGTCGGTGTGTCTCTGTCACATTGATGTTTCTCTCTCTCTTCCTCCCTCTCTCCCTCCCACTCTATCTGGAAAACACACACACACGCCAAAGTAATGGTCACACAGAGTAAGACAAAAGCCCTACAAAGGTAATGAACCAAGCAGTCATTGGCCATATAAATTTGTTGAAGCAAAATGACTTATGTTATAGTACTACTGTATATCATTCAACTATGACCTCTTATTACCAACGAGTAGGGGTGAAGACACAATGGGTGAGGCTGGAAAAATGGGCTGGGAAGACGTGAGCGGCTAGCGTGCCATGCTAAGGCAGTTGAATTTCATCCCGACAGCACATGGCAGTCATTGAAAGGATCCCATCATCATCCCTGAAGAGCAGGAATGGGTAGGAGCCCGTTCATGAAGAGCCTTTATTTATTTATTTATTTATTTATTTATTTATTTATTTATTTTTTATCCTCACCCGAGGACATTCTTCCACTTTTTGTTCAGGTAGAGTGGGAGGGAGAGAGGGGAACAGAGAGAGAGAGAGAAACATCGACGTGAAGGGACACATCGAGTGGTTGCCACCTGCACAACCGACCAGGGCCAGGGACAAACTGCAACCGAGGTACGCGCCCTTAGCGGGAACCGAACCCGGGTCTCTCAGGACCGCAGGCCGACGCTCTAACCGCTGAGCCAAACCGGCCAGGGCAGAGCCTTTTTTTTTAAATCCTCACCTGAGGACATTTTTCCATTTTTTGTTCAGATAAAGTGGGAGGGAAAGAGAGGCAGAGACAGAGAGAGAAACATCGACGTGAAAGGGACACATCGAGTGGCTGCCTCCCGCATGACCCAACCAGGGCCGAGGACAAACTGCAACCAAGGTATGTGCCCTTAATGGGAACAAAACCCGGGTCTCTCTGGTCCGCAGGCTGATGCTCTAACTGCTGAGCCAAACTGGCCAGGACCATGGAGAGCCTTTTATGTCACCCTAAGATTTCAGATTTTCTTCTTTATGCCCTTAAAAAACTAACAGGAAAGTTATTAATGATCAGTGTTACCTATAAATACAATCATGTAGGCAAAATCAAGAATAGTTAATAGAGCCCAGCTGGTGTGGCTCAGTGACCTGAGCATTGTCCTATGGACTGAGAGGTCCTGGTTCGATTTCTGGTACGGGCACATGCCCAGGTTGTGCCCCAGAGGCATGCAGGAGGCAGCCAATTGATGGTTCTCTCTCACATCGATGTTTCTATCTCTCTCTCCATAAAAAATCAAAGTTATATGTATAAAACATAATTACTAGAGGACTTTTCCGGCTACTGGAAGGCTGATAATTGAATGGCCTTTACTGAATCTTTTGCTTATTTATAAATAAATGGAGAACGCATCAAATTTAGTATCTCACAATGATTTCAAGTTTTATTTTCCTCATAAAGGCAGTCAAGCAAATTAGTGCTCCATAAGAGTCCATCTTGGTTTCTAGAAATTAACTACTTGCAATGTAAATAAATTAGTCAAGGTTAGGTCAGAATTAGAGTATCAAAGAATCATGTCCAAATAGTTACTGTCAACACTGATCAAAACTAGCTATCTTTTAAAACTATAGAGAAGCACCCGGCTAGTGTGGCTCAGTGGCTGAGTGTCAACCCATGCACCAAATGGTTGCTGGTCAGGGCACGTGCCCAGGTTGTGGGCCCAGTCCCCAGTGGGGGACATGCAAGAGGCAGCCAATAAATGTTCTCTCTCATCGATGTTTCTATCTCTCCCTCTCCCTTCGTCTCTTTCTAAAATCAATAACAAAAAAAAAAATTTAAACCAAAAAATTATAGAGAAGCAAGAAAAATGCATTTATCAGGGAACCATCCTTAAATTTTCTGTGACACTGAACAAAAGCAACATCTGTCTCTAGAAGCGATTCCCTAAATCTTTCAGAGCATATGGTACATTTAAAGGAATAATATAATTTAAAAAATAGGCCTATTATTGAGGATGTGGAGGGTAAACAGTTATATTAGAACTTTCTAAACAAATTCAGCATTTGCAGAAACCCTGTACTGAGTAAACTGATGACTATAATTATAAACGTTCCCTATGTAAATCATCTATTTTGCAAGCCTGAATTACCAATTACCAGTTTTTATTTATTTATTTTTTATTGATTTTTAAAGAGAGAGGAATAAAAAGGGAGAGAGAGAAACAAAGATGTGAGAGCAAAACATCGATCAGCTGCCTCCTGCACGCCCTCTACCAGGGAACAAGCCTGCAACCTGGGCGTGGGCCCTGACCAGGAATTGAACCAGCGACCTTTTGGTGCACAGGATGATGCCCAACCAACTGAACCACACCAGTCAGAGCACCAGGTTTTCTTAATATAGGAAGCATGTTAATTTGAGATATAAAAGGATGATTTTTAGTAATATATTTGGATTAAAAATTTTTTATTAATGTAAATAAAGATGAAATATGCTTATAAGTCTGACTTTAGATTCAAGCAATTCTAATTACAAAGACAATGGTATATGATGAAGAAAAATTCTCTTTTTGTTCAAGTTTAGATATCATGTAACTAATATAATTGTGCCCCAAATTAATTCCTCTCAGAATACTTCGAACTTCTGCTTCCTCTGCCTTCTCTTAATTGGTCTTAGGTTTTTGTCTTTTTGTTTTTAACATTACCTACCTTATTCACAGCATAATTATTTTTTTTGTTAATTTTAACCCGAGGATCTTTTCCCACTGATTTTAGAGAGTGGGAAGGAGGGAGGGAGAGAGAGAAAACATTGATGTGAGAGAGACACATCCATCAGTTGCCTCCCACAGGACCCCAACCATGGCTGGTGATGGAGCCAGCAACCCAGGTACATGCCCTTGACTGGAAATTGAACCCGAGTCCCTTTAGCCCGAGGGCTGACACTCTAACCGCTAAGCCATACGGGCCAGGGCTGTCACTTTTCATTTTAAATGTCAGATTTACATTTCAATTGCCTTTGAAGAATCAAACATTTGTGGGACTTTTTGGATTTGTTGTTTTATAATGGAAAGGCCTCACTTTAGTTGACAAAAAACTCGTGGATGACACAAATTTAGAAAGGAGACTCTCTGCTATCTTCCTGCTGGTTTGAAATGAGAGAAGTCTGCATGTCAAAGATGAGAGGTGTCGGTGCTCAGCAGGTTCTGGGCTACATGTAAAATCTTAGAGAACTTCCATGTTGCCAAGATAAGGGGCTGGCTGCAAGCGGGTCTTGGTAAGAGCAGCCTGCTTGTATTCCTCACCTGTGTAGATGAGCAGACACGTCAGGGAGCAGAACAGTTCCAGGGCCAGCAGGGCCAGGATGAGGTCGAGGTACAGCCTGCTGGGCTCCGGGAAGGAATGCTGGATGCACAGGATGAGGAGGAGTGCTGTGCTGCCTGAGAGGGAGGAACAGAACCAGTGTCCGCCAGAGCCCAGCTCACACCACAAGGCCCTGCACCTCCCACACCAAGTCTGCCCAGCAGTGAAGGACGTTCAAGGCAAAAACCAAAAACACTGCTCATCTTTTTTTGGGGGGCGGGGGGACAAAAAGAAAACATCAAAGAGTTACTGATGTCTCATAATACAAATATATAGAAAACTAGACTGTATTAAAACAAAGGAATCACCCTGGCCAGTTTGGCTCAGCGGTTGGAGGGTCGGCCTGCGGACCAGAGAGTCCTCAAAAAAACAACAGAGGAATCACTTTTTGCTTTATAGAATTATTAACAGTGACTTTCCTTTGGGTCCTTTGTGTGTTTAAAAAAACGATGCAGCCCTGGCCAGTTTGGCTCAGCTGTTAGAGCGTCGACCTGCGGTCCAGAGAGACCCGGGTTCGGTTCCCACTAAGGGCACGTACTTCGGTTGCAGTTTGTTCCCGGCCCTGGTTGGTTGTGCGGGTGGCAGCCACTCGATGTGTCCCTTCACGTCGATGTTTCTCTCTCTCTCTCCCTTCCTCTCTCTCCCTCCCACTCTATCTGTACAAAAAAATGGAAAAATATCCTCGGGTGAGGATAAAAAAAAAACGATGGAGATTTTAGAAACCTCCAGATTCCAGTTCTTCTGGGATCCATGGGCACTTGCGGACCCCAGTACCCATTCAGGTCACAAATGTGCTCATGGAGACCTGCACCACCGTTAGGGGCGCTGCAATGCTCCGGACACCTGGATGGAAATCCGGGACACGCTGCTAACCTTGGACAAGTGACTACCTCCGCTCCTCGACTTTGTTATCTGAAAAAAGGGGATAACTGTACCTTCCTCAAAGTGCTATGCTTTATTTTCATTTAAAAAAAATTTTTTTTATTCCTTTTGATACTGTTTATGAACTAAAGCCATTAACTCACTCTGACCCCAGACTTCTCCTATTTAAATTTGGGGAAATAGCCCAGGCCGGTCTGGCTCAGTGGATTGAGCATCATCCCATGGACTGGGAGGTCCTGGTTAGATTCCGGGTCAGGGCACATGCCTGGGTTTCCGGCTGGATCCCCAGTGGGGGGAGTGCAGGAGGCAGCCAATGATGCATCTCTCTCACATTGATGTTTCTCTCTCTGTCTCTGTCTTCCTCTCTTTCTAAAAAAACCATAAAAACTATTTTAAAAAATATAAATACAAATTTCATATAATAATATTTTTTAAAAAAACAGAAACAAGGTAAATACCTGCCCCCAATTCTTTCATTTTCTGAGTCCTTATACAAGCAACATACAAGTGATGCTATTTGTGATTAAACTAAGGGTCCAATTGTTTAGAAACAGATTATGATTAAGGGTCACAAGTTTAACAAGAATTTGAAAGTCAGAGGACAGGTAAAGTCAGATACTCTTTTGGTGTCCTCAAACTGACTATTTCCAGGAAATCACTTATAATCAATCATTATTTTGGTCATAGAACATATAAGATCTTTCAGTAATTAAAAAATAGGTTTCTGGCCCCGGCCAGTTTGGCTCAGCAGTTAGAGCGTTGGCCTGCGGTCCAGAGAGACCCGGGTTCGGTTCCCGCTAAGGGCATGTATTTCCATTGTGGTTGGTCCCCGGCCCTGGTTGGTTCGTGTGGGTGGCAGCCACTTGATGTGTCCCTTTCACGTCAATGTTTCTCTCTCTCTTCCTCTCTCTCCTTCCCACTCTATCTAAATAAAAAAGTGGAAAAATGTCCTCGGGTGAGGATAAAAAAACAAATAAAACAAACCAAACAAAAAAATAGGTTTCTGTCACCCCCAGGAAAGGATGATAATGACATCTGGCCGAGAGAATACTACACATCAATAATTGAACATATAGCCCTGGCCAGTTTTGCTCAGTGGTTAGAGCGTCGGCCCGCAGACCAATGAGACCCGGGTTCGATTCTGGCTAAGGGCACATACCTCGGTTTGGGTTCGTCCTCGGCCCTGGCAGGGTCGCATCGGAGGCAACCAGTTAATGTGTCTCTCTCACATTGATGTTTCTCTCTCTGTCTCTGTCTCTCCCTCTTTTCCTCCCTCCTAATCTGTCTGGAGATAAGTGAGGATAAAAAAAACCAAAAAATTGAATATATAAAACCAAGCTCCTCTCAGGAAGAAGCAGTAAATGTCGCCCCCTTCTGGATGAGTACAAGTAAGCCATCTGTATAAAATGCTGCTTTTTCTGCTATACCATAGCCCTCTATTTTCCACTAAAAACATCACTGGCAGTTTGCCCTTAAGGAAATGTACTAACAGAACACAGAAGAAAAATAAAAATTGAATTTTTAGAGCTGTTTTTCTGGCGAAAAATATTCATTTCTAATCTGGTTTCAAAATTTTTAAAGATTCTGGACTCACATTCAAAGAAGGTCTTTTAAAATGATAGAAACTTTAATAACACTAAGGCAAAATTACCTAAAGAAGTTCAATTTAATTCATTAAGCCTTTCAAACATCTACAACAGTAAAGAAAAGCAGGCACTCAGGCGTTCTAAATCCTGCGTGGACTTTCTGATTATGCCTTCTTAATTTGTTTTTCTCTTTTTGTTTTGGATAATACAAATTATTACTAAGTCTCTCTTACTGCAAGAAAAATACCAAGCTTCATTTAAAATAAAACAATTCCCTCTTCTTTTTTTTTATCCTAAGCCAAGGACATTTTTTTGCATTTATCTTCAGATAGAGAAGGAAGGAGAGAGGGAGGAAGAGAGAGAGAAACACATTGACTGGTTGCCACCCACACAACCCCAACCAGGGCCAGGGACAAATTGCAACCGAGGTACGTGCCCTTAATGGGAACCGAACCTGGGACTCTCTGGTCTGCGGGCTGATGCTCCAACCGCTGAGCCAAACCGGCAGGGTCAATTCTTTCTTCTTATAAGTATCAAATAGCAGCAGCATTTATATCTCCTTGAGATAAATAAAGAAAAGAGGGGAAATCCTACATTTCACACAGAAATACATGCACATCGTGTTCATAATGAAGGGAGCAGAAAATGCCACCCAAAATATAACTCTTTGGCATAAGGATTATTTTAGGGTGATTATTTTAAAGATACAGCTCTGAAAACTGAGTAGAAGCTATCCATTTCAAAAAGTGTCTCCTTCTCTACCAGGAAGATAAGGATGACTCTAAATCTCAAGAAACTCTGCCCTGGCCGGTTTGGCTCAGCGGTTAGAGCGTCGGCCTGCGGTCTAGAGAGACCCGGGTTCGGTTCCCGCTAAGGGCGCGTACCTCGGTTGCAGTTTGTCCCCGGCCCTGGTTGGTCGTACGGGTGGCAGCCACTCGATGTGTCCCTTTCGCGTCGATGTTTCTCTCTCTTCCTTTCTCTTCCTCTCTCTCCCTCCCAGTCTATCTGTACAAAAAATGGAAAAGTGTCCTCGGGTGAGGATTTAAAAAAAAAAAAAAAAAAAAATTAAAAAAAAATACATTTAAAAATAAATAAATAAATAAAAAATAAATCTCAAGAAACTCTTACCAGTGGAGAAGGCACCTTCTTAAATCTGCTTAACAACCTTACCCTTGTTTACTGTGCTTTTCCTGGTAACCTCCCATAACTGCCTTCCCAACCCCAACATCTTTTTTTTGTCTTTTGCTGGAAATAGTATTTAAGGTGGTGGCTTGGGGCTTTGCACAGTTAAACTGGGTCTCTCCCACGAATACAGGAGGTATGCCCAGTAGAGGGCGTGCAGGAGGCGGCCAGTCAATGTTATCTTTCATCAATATTTCTCTCTTTCTCCTCCTCTCACTTCTCTCTCTAAAAAAATCAATAAAGAAAAAAAAAAAGCTTCACGACATTTAGGTAATCCAAATTTTAGTCATCACAACACATATTAGTCTCACAAAAATGAGAGAATCTATAGTAAGTTCTGACTTAACGTCATGAGTAGGTTTCTATGACTTGAAGAGAAACCACATGCAATGAAACCAATCTGACCATCGGCTATTGATAAAACCAAAGTTAAGTTCCTACGGCATCCCATCAACTTTTTTTTTTTTTTTTTTTTTTTATCCTCACCCGAGGATATTTTTCCATTTTTTGTACAGATAGAGTGGGAGGGAGAGAGAGGAAGGGAGAGAGAGAGAAACATCGACATGAAGGGACACATCGAGTGGCTGCCACCCGCACGACCAACCAGGGCCGGGGACAAACTGCAACCGAAGTACGTGCCCTTAGCGGGAACCGAACCCGGGTCTCTCCGGACCGCAGGCCAACGCTCTAACCGCTGAGCCAAACTGGCCAGGGCTCATCAACTTTTAACAAAATGATGTTGAATGAGACGACATTATTCAAGGGCCTGCTGTATTTGATTGTAAAATCAATTTTCACATTTTCTTTCTGCTGTCATTTTTGCTACTCGGCCAAGCTGCAGCCAAGCTGCAGACAAGCCGAAAGAGACAACTGGGCTTACCTGTGGAGTGGATCATTAGAACAAGTCTTTTAAGATGCCTGGTGGATCGGTAGATCATGTTATAGCCTCGGTTTCTTACTTTGCTGTGGTGATACTGAATGTAGTGTTCAAGAAGGAAATGCAGAATCCATAAAATGACTTTTCCAAGGATTATGACCGTCTGAACTTTCAGTGGGTTGGTGTAGTTTCCTGGGCACTTGTCCTCAGTTGGATTAGGGTAAGAACAGATCACACCTGTTACAAATGCTAAAATAACAAATACAACCTGGTGGAAAGGAAAGCAGTAGGTTTAATATTCAATATATGGATTGAAGAAACATTATCACCATCCCAGCACATGCTTGTGAGCCTATGACTAATGCTGTCTAATTTTTATAAATGAATTTAAAAACATATTTTTACAAACTTTTCAAACAAAATTTGAAGAAAAATTTGCAGATAACTGGGAAAACAAATACAATCACAAATAGGAAAAAATAATATCACTCACTGAAAAAAAAAAAAATCACCCTAACTCTGATCTTAATAGAAATGGGTATTTAATGTTAAACACAGTTTCCTGCCCACTTCTCTTTTACCGAAGAGTAACTAGTAAAAGTAACTAGTAAAAATCATGGTTTGAAGCATTCATTCCTATGGGTGTTCTCCGGCTAAAATCAAGGTGTGAGTCTGCGCTCTTCTGGAGGCTCTGGAGAGAACCCGTTCCCGGGCCTTCCTCAGCCTGAGAGGCCGCCTGCATACTCTGACTCCTGCTTCTCCCTCTCTCTTTGGAGCCAGCAGTGTGACATCTTCAAATCTCTCTTTCTGTCCTCTACTTCCATGGTCACTTCTCTTTTTCTGTCTCTGACCCTCCTGTCTCCCTCTCACAAAGACTGGATTGCATTGGGCCCACCATACGATCCATAATAATCTCCCCATTTTAAGATCCTTAACTTGAGCACCTTTACAGAATCCCTATCGCTATGCAAGGTAGCATGTTCTCAAGTTCCAGGAGTTAGAAGGGAAAATAATAAATAAATAAGTAAGTAAATAAATAAATAAAATAAGTTTATTTCTACTTTTAGTGTTAAGAGAACAACACAAACTATCCAATTAGATTGACAAAAATTTTAAAGATTAATGCCAAAATACAGGCAAATGGACATTCTCATATATTGCTGACCGGTCTGAGAATTACTGTGAAAAATAATTTGGAAATTATCTTGACCCAGAAATCCCACCTTAAGGACTGTATCCCTCAGGAAGAAAAGCACCAGTACCTAATATGCATGGATATGAATATTTTTTTAATTTTTTATCCTCACCTGAGGACATTTTTGCATTTATCTTCAGATAGAGCAGGAGGGAGAAAGGGAGGAAGAGCGAGAGAGAGAAACATTGATGTGAGAAAGACACATTGACTGGCTGCCACACACACGAACCCAACCAGGGCCGGGGACAAACTCCAACCGAGGTACGTGCCCTTTGCGGGAACCGAACCCAGGACTCTCTGGTCCGTGGGCCGATGCTCTAACCGCTGAGCAAAACCAGCCAGGGCGGATACGAATATTTCATGCAGTATTCTGCATATTTGCAAAACTGTCCAGCCACAGAATGCTTAAATAAATTAAGTTACATCTGCCCATATAATAGAATGTTTTTCAGCCATAAAAGAATTAATTCAGTCTCTGTGTATTGGTTTGGATGGATATCTATGATATGTTAAGATTAAAAGAAATAAGTTTCAGAGTAGTTTTCAAAGTTTGGTTTACAGACCAGCAGCATCAGGATCGCTAGGGATTGAGTTAGAAATGCAAATTCCCAGAGCCCATCCCTTACTGACTGAATCAAAATCTCTGGGGGTGTGGCTGAGCAATCTGTAGCTCAACAAGCCTGCCAGGAAGACTGATCCATGCTGAAGTTTGAGCAACACTGAGGCAGAGTAATAAGTACAGTATTACCCATTGATTTGGAAAGAAATTAGATAATACTGCAAGTATGGATAATAAATACTACAGTAAATTCTTTGAAACAGAGATATGAATGAAAAAGTATGCACATTTTAAATGTTGATGAATATAGCCGAACTGCCTTCCAAAGAATTTATTTATTTTTTAAGAACATCACCTCTAGATGGGTCACTTTCTCCCAGCCAACTTACATGTATTAACAGGAGAAGATTTGCTATGATGACCGTGGGAAGAGGATGAAATTTGGGTCTAAAATTAGCATGCAATGAATAATTTGAAAGATGCTGGGTGTCCAGAAGAGGGTCATCTTCAATACTCTGGGATGGATCCAAGGAACCCTGCTATGCAGAAAAAAGGAAGCAAGCTATGATTATCACTTTCTGGATTATGCATCTAATACAAATTTACTAAACTATAAAGCTTTAAAAAGCATTACACATTCTCTCTCTCTCCCCTAATTAAAAAATGAGACCTGAGCATTGCAGAAAATGTGAAGAAAATTAATCACTCCTATAATGCCTGTCTCTACAAATAAAATAAAATAAATAAAAAGCATTACACAAGTTAGAACAAAAAAAAACCATACTCCCTACCTAAAGCCAATTTTGAAAATATACCATAAGCTTCTAGATAACTTCTGTATGTAAATTGGTGAAAATAACAATTAGTAAAACAGGTAGATGTCTTAATTCATTTATCTTCAAACAAGGCAATACATAATGAGATTAAAACAAATAATTTTCTTTAAGCCCTCAAAACTTTGATATTGATTTATTTAACATTATTTATATTATTGATGAAATAATTACATACAGTTGCAATTCTTCAACCACGTCTCTGTGTTCCATAAAATTTTGGAAAGTAGGTGGAAGAGACAGAGAGACATCGATTAGTTGCCTCCTGCACAACCCCTGACCAGGGCTAGGACCAAACCACAACCGAGGTATGAGGTACGAGTACGTGGCATGTGCCCTTGACCAGAATCAAAACCTCAACTCTTTGGTCCAAGGGCCAATGCTCTTACCACAGAGCCAAAGTGGCCAAGGCTATTGGGAAGTCTTAAAACAAACTTTCAGTTATGATAGGAATATTTTAGAGTACTACTAGAAACAGATCCCCATTATAGACTTCGAGGAGAATTCAGTTTGAAGTCAAACTCTCAATGAAAACTACTTGCGATGTCACTGAAGTAGCCGGCAAAGTTCAGCTGCAACTTAAAATCTAGTTAGCCATGTTTAACAGTGCTGCCGTGACAGGCAGGACCAGTACTTTCTGGTCTCTGGTGTACACAACAATCTCTCAATCTCAGATTCTTACAGAAAACTGTTATATATTAGGCACTTTGCCCAAGACTGAAGAACGTAAGACACAGTCCAAAAGGAGATTACATTTCCATTGGGGGAGTCAGTGATAAGTATATGCAAGTCTAAATAACACACAACAGAATATAGTGCATGGGATACTATAAGAAAGTAATAATAAATTAGCAAATGAATAGCACGGATTATGCAACAATTTAGGTTAACTAGGTGTACTAGAATGAGAGGGAAATGAAGCCTTAATGCACAAAAGGGAGGCCTCGGAATCGGACTAGGAGACAGAGGATAAGGGTTTTTTACTTTGGAAGGAGTAGAGGATGGTGTGTTGGGCACTAGGATTATATAGATAATTCAGTAATCTGGGGCATGATACAGATCTGGGGTGGGGTCCTTGATTTCTAATCTAAGGCATTCAGTTCTACTCTGAAATTTTTAAAATTATTTTTTTAGTCCTGGTCAGTTTGGCTCAGCAGTTGGAGCGTTGTGTTGAGCTGCAGACCAGAGAGTCCCAGGTTCGATTCCCGCTAGGGGCAAGTACCAAAAAAATAAATAAAGTTAAAATTATTTTTTTAAATCCTCATCCAAAGATATGTTTCCACTGATTTGAGAGAGAGAGGGAGGAAGAGAGAAAGAGAAACGTAGATTTGTTGCCTCCTGTACGTGCCCTGACCACTGGCGACCAAAACCACAACCTAGGTAAGACCCTCACTGGGAATCGAACCCAAAACCTTTTGTTGTATGGGATGTCACTCTGACCAACTGGGACACCTGACCAGGGCACAGCTCTGCAATTTTTAAATTCAATGCCTACACAGTTTCCTGTTTAGTTTGCCAGAACTCATGGTGTGATTCTGATTATTTCTGTTCTCTTTAAGACTCCATTATCCCTAGCTCTTTCTCAGTCAGTAGACGTCCTAGCTTCCAAAACTCTTCCCTTAGCTAGTCCAGGAGCCTTCCAGGCTCAGTTGGGGCAATTCCTACAGGCAGCCTTCCTGGGCAGCCAAGCATCTGGATCATACCACCCCTCACCACATCTTCCCAAGTATTTGGTGCTGACGTCCTCTATCATACTATCCTGAGATGGTCTTCTTACTTATCTTCCCCTCAGTAGACTTTATGAGACCCACTGCTTCCCTACTTCCTATGTTTTTGTAATGCTAGTGCCCAACAGTGACTCATGGTGACACTCAGCTAACATGTGTTGAGTGAATGAAGGTTTCAAACCTGTCCCTGCAGTTTCCCTATCATCATAACCAGGAGAGACTATCAAGAGCTGTAGAGACAATCAACTCTGACCAGAGGCAGTAAGTGCTGTGGTTAAAGGCAGGCTCCTACGACAAACTGCCTGGGTTCAAATATAAGTTCTACTGCTTCCTAGCTGTGGGCAAGCTACTTCGTCTCTCTGTTGAAGGGGTTGGGGCCTACAATACAGCTTCTTCTCTCTGTCACCCATTAGATGTTCAGTAAATATAATGTATTTGATGGCTATATCAAATACACTGTCCAATGGATCCTACAGGAAATATAGTAAGACCATACAAACAGCATCCCATTATTCTCTAACTCACAATATACACATAAAAGGTGAAGAGAAGATGCCTCCCGAATACAAAGAATTTCTGCATTTTCACTATTAATAACTATATTACTACCTGTAGAAGGTATCTGTTGTTTTTGCCCATGCCACATCTCTTCCCTCTTCTTTTGTGACAATAATTCCAATTTCTTTGGGGACTCACCACCTACCTCTACATTGTCTCAATGGGAACATCTTTCAGTATTCTTTTTTTTTTTTAATCCTCACCCAAGGACATTTTTCCATTTTTTGTTCAGATAGAGTGGGAGGGAGAAAGAGAGAAACATCGACGTGAAAGGGACACATCGAGTGGTTGCCACCCGCACGACCCAACCAGGGTCAGGGACAAACTGCAACCGAGGTACATGCCCTTCGCGGGAACCAAACCCGGGTCTGTCTGGACCGCAGGCCGACGCTCTAACTGCTGAGCCAAACCGGCCAGGGCTCTTTCAATATTCTTCACCCTCCTCTGGCCTAAGGGTGGTCATGGAACCAGAGACCTGGGCAATCCAACTCTCTGTGAGCAGCAAAGCAGAGGGAGACCATGGTTAACGCAGATTTATTCCAGGGCAGACTCTGAAAGGACTTGAATTGCCCTTGTTGGGTCCTTTCAGAGGCCTTGGTGTTCATCTGACCTATTTCATTTTTCTTTACATTTATCTTCAGATACAGTGGGAGGGAGAGGGACATCGAAGTGAGAGAGACACATCGATTGTGTTCCCACCTGCACAACCCCAAGCAGGGCTGGGGACGAACTGCAACCGAGGTACGTGCCCTTGGCTAGAACCGAATCCAGGTGTCTTTGGTCTGCAGGATGACGCTCTAACCACTGTGAAACCTGGCCAGGCCATCTACCCTATTTCAAATAAATCCCTATCTTCCTTAAAATAGCCAGAGTTGGTTTCACTGCTTGCAAACAATTAACCTTAACTAAAAAGCCTTTGAGTCTTTTTTTCCCCTTTATTGATTTTAGGGAAAGAGGAAGGGAGAGGGAGAGAGAGGTGGACACATCGATGAGAGAGAACATAGACTGGCCGCATCCTGCATGCCCCCCACTGGGGATCAGGCCCAAACCTGGGCATGTGCCCTGACCAGGAATCGAACCAGCGACCTCTTGGTGCATTGGTCAACGCTCAACCACTGAGCCACACCTGCCAGGCAAAAAGCCTTTGACTCTTACATCATTGACGTGTCTGGGCCTATGACATGACAGATTATTTTTAGTTTTTTTTTCTCAAAGATCTTTTTTTGTTGTTAATCCTCATCCAAGAATATTTTTCCATTGATTTTTAGAGTGAGTGGAAGGGAGGTAGAAAGAGAAACATCGATGTGACAAAGATACATCAATTGGTTGCCTCCTGCACATGCCCCAACAGGGATAGGGGCTGGGGAACTAACCAGCAACCCAGGTATGTGCCCTTGACCAGGAATCGAACCTGCGACCCTTTGGTGTACAGGCCCATGCCCATGCTCTATCCATTGAGCCACACCGGTCAGGACAATAATTCTTAGCTTTTTACTAAATGGTAGACTTTATACCCACAATATACCAAAGCAGGCAACTTACTCAGACTGAAAGTGATTTAGCTACGCAATTATTGCTGAAACAGATTTCTAGGGTTGTACTCATTCTAAAGCTAAAAGCTACAGATCCTGGGGTAGCTTAGCATCAACCAAGAAGCACTTACTGCATGAATTTTTCTGTTTCTCATTTTACTTATTCATTTTTTTTCCATCCATTGTCAGTTCATGAATCTCCCCCTTAAAGTTTTAGAAACACTCAAGTTTTCTTTAAACATTTAAGTCTCAAATCTACTTCCAGGTTTTACAGTTAGTGTTCCATGTTCTCCACAGGGGACAAAAGAGGAATTTTTAATCTTATTAGAAATCGTTCAGTCTTTATTTGTCGAGATAATTTAACTATGGTCACTATTAACCTAAGAATCTAATAAGCTCTTGCAGGGTTGGAACTGTGTTTCATGTATCTTGTCTGATGCACTTCATTCAGTGATAGGATCTTAGTAATATTTCTATTAACTTATTAATCCAAATTAATGTTTTAATGTAACTGTCAACTTTGCATTTTTCTTTAAAAGTTGTTTTCTTTTATTGATTTTAGAATAAGGGAGAGGGACAGAGAGATAGAAACATCCATGAGCGAGAACACTGACTGGCCCCCTCCTGCATGCCCCCTACTGGGGATTTGGCCCACAAACAGAGCATGTGCCCTGACCAGGAATTGAACTGGTGACCTCTTCGTGCATGGGACAGTGCTCAACCACCGAGCCACACTGGCCACGCTCAACTTTGCATTTTTCAAGGCAATCATTTTATTTTGTGCCAATAGGGAAACTCAGTTAATTCTGGGCACAAGTATTATTTCTCCTAAAAATATTTTAATAGACTTAAGAATAAGATTTTTTACAATTATGCTATCACTCCGTACAACGTAAAATAGGGTACTCGCTTTTCAGTCATCTGATTTGGATCCATCTAAGAAAGGAGACTTAAAAATCCTTTCATTGCTACCATGCCTAGATTCAAAACATCACGACACTGTTGTTCTCCAATGTCGGTTTCCGGGCGATGAAGGCCACAGGTCTGCCCGAGGGCCGGCGGCTGGCCTGCAGTGGGGCAGCCGCTCCAGGGCCACAGCGCTCCAAGCCGAGGCAAGGGACCCGCGAGGGCAGATTCGGGGCCACAGAGCGGAGTCCTGGGCCCAGCGCCCAGGAACGCGGAGCCGGGCTGTCAGGCCAGCGCACATCACGTGAAGCTCTCAGTTCCGGGATCAGAGATGCGCACTGCTGGGGGCTGGGCGCCGGCCTGGGACCCCCACACCCGCGTAGCCACCGCCCAGCAGCCCACCCCGGCAGAGACCGGGGAAGTCAGACCGGAGCTGCCGAAGTGTCCCGCACCCCACGCCACCCCGGTGCTTTCTCCCACAGCCCCGCGCCGGGGCCAGCCCTGCCAGAAAGCACCGCCTCCCGCCCAGGCGCCCAGGGTGAGGGTGGCTTCCCGCGCAGTCTCCGCCCAGCGCGCCCAGTACAGGAAGAAGGGGACTCCGGGGCCAGCCGCCCGCCATCGTGCACTCACATCCTCCAGCCTGCCCCCCGCCGCCATTTCCCGACGCGTAGGCCGAGGCCCGGGCTGGCCGGGCCCCTCCACCTGTTTCCAGGCGCCGTGGGCCCACGGAACTCTCCACCTTCAGGGATAGGCCTGCCCCCACTCTAGACACACCCCCTCCGGCACCCGCCCCGCCCCTGGTCGTCCCAGGGCCCCGCCTCCTTACTTCCGATTGGTCGAGGCAGAGGCAAGGCGTGCCCTGCCCTGAAGCCTGGACCAGTGGGCCTCAGTTGCATCTTGGTTCCTGGGGTTTTCCTCCCTCCCTGCTCAGGTCCGCTATTGGCGAGAGACTTGGGCATTAAAGGATTCATTCCACGTCCAAGACTTTAACTGTTTTCGGCGGCCAGTTGCTTTAAAAAAAAAGGTAATTTTTTCCGGTCTTCCTTAGTTTTTGTTTGCAGGCATGGCTCCATGCATAAGTAGAACAAGCGTTAGAATTTTAGGGTTCCCATTTTTAACTGAAAACATCAGCAGAGGGACAGGAGCAAAATAAAGATTCGAATCTCCGTGACGTATTTACAGATTTCACCAATGGGCGTGAGTAATGAGACCAAATTAGAAGCCAGCCTCACAGATGCTGATCAGTAGCTCGCTAATCTGGCTCTGAATCAGTTCTGAATAAGTAGGCTAAACTCTTTTTCAGGAGACTCTCCTGGGTCCGAGTCTTTGCTTATATAACACTTCTAGGAGTAAAAACGTTTTATCCTTTTTCAACTTGAACTTTATATTTCTTCTATAAGTACTCCCCAGTTGACCGATTATTTAGCAAATGATGTTGGAAAAACCATTTAGCCATTTGAAAGAAAATAAAGCTGGATCACTCCCACATTCCTTAAGCCAAAGTAAAATCCTAATAGTTCAGAGATTTAAACATAAAAATAAACCAACAGAAGTTCTAGATAAAAATTAGCACAGTCTTACAGTAAAGACTGTTCATGCATGACGATGTGTCTTGGTATGGATCACTTTGAGTTCATCTTGTTTGGGACTCTGTGCTACCTGGACTAGTATGTCTGTTTCATTCAACAGCTTAGGGAATTTTTGTCATTATTTTTTCAAATAGGTTTTCAATTTCTTGTTCTCTCTCCTCTCCTTCCGGCACCCCCATGATGCAAATGTTGGTATGCTTAAAGTTGTCCCAGAGGCTCCTTACACTATCCTCATTGTTTTGTTTTGTTTTATTCTTTTTTCTGTTTGCTGTTCTGATTGGGTGTTTTTTGCTTCTTTATATTCCAAATCGATGGTTTGATTCTCAGCTTTACCTACTATACTGTTGATACCTACTATACTGTTGATACCCTGTAAATTATTCTTTATTTCAGTTAGTGCATCCTTCATTTCTGACTGCACATCCTTCATTTCTGACTGGTCCATGCTTATGCTCTTGAGGTCCTTACTAAGTTTCTTGAGTATCTTTATCAATAAGCAGTGTTTTGAACTCTGCATTTGATTGATTGCTTATCTCCATTTTGTTTAGTTCTTTTCCTGGAGTTTTGATCTGTTCTTTCATTTGGGACATATTTCTTTGTCTCCTCATTTTGGCTGCCTCCCTGTGTTTGTTTCTATGTATTAGGTAGAGTTTCTATGTCTCCTAGGCTTCATAGTGTGGCCTATTGTTGTAGGTATCCTGTAGGATCCAGTGGCAGAGTTTCCCTGATCACCCCAGCTGGGACCTCAAGGTGCACCCCTTGTGTGGACTGTATATCCTTCTGTTGTAATTGATTGCTGTTGGCCTGTCAATAGGAGGGTTTTACTCAGCTGATCAGCTGCAAGGACTGGCTTGTCCACTGACCACTGACCTCTGACTACTTTAAAGAATCAGGCCCTGGCCTGTTTGGATCAGTGGTTACAGCATCAACCTGCGGTCCAGAGAGACCCAGGTTCGGCTCCTGCTAAGGGTACGTACCTCGGTTGCGGTTTGTCCCTGACCCTGGTTGGGCTGTGTGGGTGACAGCCACTTGATGTGTCCCTTTCACATTGATGTTTCTTTCTTTCTCTCTCTCTCTTTCTCTCTCTCTTTCTCTCTCTCTTCCTCTCTCTGAACAAAAAGTAGAAAAATGTCCTCGGGTGAGGATAAAAAAAAAATCAGCTGTGTAGGGGCCCACCACACAGAGCAAGACTTACTTCAGCAGGGCTCTAGTACCCACTGAGTCCACTTATTGAGTGTGTCACTTGTGAAGGTGGTTGGGTAGTGGTGCTTCGATGTGGTCTGAAGCTGTCCACTGGGTGTGCTGGCTCTGGGGCAAGGTCAGCCACTGCCATAAGCTACAAAGTGATCTGGCTGATTCTTGTGCTGGGCCTGGAGGTGCCCAGGAAAAGCCAAGCTGTGAACCAAGGCTGGCTGCTTCTAATGCTGGCCCTGGGGCCATTTAGCAAGAGGTGTGGGGCTCACTGAGGCCAGATGCTGCTTGTTTGAGAGAATTTAGGAAACTCTGAAGCAGGATCCAAGACGGGCCAATCCTATGGTAAAAGCACTGGAAACAGCTTGGGTGGGCCTGAAATTTGGGCAGGGCAAACTGTGTGAGCCAGGTTGCTGGAGTCCCAGATATGGTGCACATCTGCTGGCCCTGTGGGGGAAGGGCTCACCAAAGGAACAACGGCCTCCACCAGCATGTCAATCTGGGAGAAAGCTGCCTCTCCAGCTCTCACCCCAATACCAAACAACTCAGTTCTTCCAGAATATCTCTGGTACCTTTTAAGCTGCCTCCCCCATGCTGAAGCCTGATGGGAGCGAGTCCGAGTAAGTCCATGAGCAGCCCTTTAAGAGGAACTGCCTGGGGCTCCAGAAGCCTCAGCTTCCCTCAGCCTCAGTTCCCGCTGGGTTTTCCAGCCAGAAGTTATGGGGATTCTTTCCTGGCACTAGAACCCTGAGTGTGGGACGGGGACCCCTCAGTCTTCAGGGAGGACCTTCCCAGCCGAGGTGACCCCTGATTTTTATCTGTCACACGTGGGTGTGGGACCAGCTCGTCGTACCTCTGCCCCTCCTACTGGTCTTGATTTGGTTTCTTTCATTTCATAGTTGTAGGACTTCCATTCAGCTCAATTTCAGGCAATTCTAAATGATGGTTATTCTGTAGTTTAGTTGTAATTTTGATGTGGTTGTGGGAGGAGGTGAGCACTGCATTTACCTATGCCGCCATCTTGACCAAAAGTTTATCCATTACTTTTTAAAAATAATTTTTAAAGGGGGGGCATCTGCAATACTTTCAACAATAAAGAGAAAGAAAGAAAGAGAGAGAGAGAGAAAATTTAAAATTTTTATTTATTGATTGATTTTTAGAGAGAGTGAGAGAGAAACATGAATTTATTATTCCAGTTATTTATGCATTTATTGGTTGATTATTGCATGCGACCTGCCTAGGGATGGAGCTGAAACCTTAGCATATCGGGACAACATGCTAACCAACTCAGCTACCACGCCAGGGCTGTAACCACCCTGAATTTTTAAAATATTATTTTATTTTTTCATACTATTCACATTTTTTAATTGACCTTTATCCTTTAGTAATTGAGAAATGAGCAAAGATTAAGCTAGGTACTCACTTTAGAAGATTACACAAAGACAAAAGCCTTTCTCACCTGTTCAGATCCTAGTTCATACCATTCTCCTGACTGACTCTCAGTAACAATTATTTCCTGTCATCACTAAGAGTTTCACGGGTATTCCTTATTCCCCCAATTAAACTTCAAACACTCTAAAGTGTAATCCATCACAGCCCAGAAGCAGACATGCAGCAAATGAGGGGAAAGGTATAAAAATGAGATGTTAATGGAGGGTGGGGGTGAGATAAATAGAGCAGGAAGGCTATGGTAGAAGGAGACACGTGGGAAGGAGGAGGGGAGAGGAGAGAGATGCAGGAAGAACAGAAAAGCGCACTTGTCAAAGTTGAGGAGAGATGTATGAGACGTGAGGAGCGTTGGACTGGGCAGTCACACATGCTTTTTGTTAACTAGATCAAGATATGGGTAATAAAATGTATGTGAAACACCAACAGGGCTGGTGGGGGCACCAGGAGGTAAATAGTATAAGGAGCCTGGGGCAGAGCAGGGGAGGCACCAAAGACACAGGCATTCTATGCTGGCAGTGAGTGGCAGAGCTATACCAAGCACTGAGCAAATGGCTCCATGGATGGCAGGATCCTCGGCTAGGTCTTGAGCACATTGTTAGGATGCTAACAGCAGTGGGTATCTCATTTGAGCAGATGTCTCATTTGGGTAGGTTTGCTGTGAATCCTGCCCGAACCTTGCAGCTTTACTCCCAGAATGCCCCTGAGTCTGCAGCAGATTCACTGTTTGAAATATAAGCTTTAAACCCCAAGGGCAATCCCAGAATCTCTAAATGGGGAAAGAGGGGGGGAGACAAAGGGGTCACCACTCCTTAGGCCCCTGCTTAATGGATCACCCCGAGCCTCAGATAATAAGCAAAGTGTTTTGTATCAGATTTGGGGGTCTGAATTAGGAAGTCTTTTTCAGAATGTCTACAAGGCATACTTTCTTTGATCCCAAGCTGTCTGACTTACATGGACATAGCTCCTCCTTCCATCCTCAAATGCTTGGAAGTCGTCTTACTGTTTTAAGAAGTTCTTTTGTTCTGAGCACATTTTCCCTTGTCAGCCTGTCCTCCCAGAGGGAATGTGGTGTAGGGAAAGAGACTTGGAGTGAGAAAACGCAGCTGGAATATTCCGGTTCTACAACTTACCCCTCTAAGCCTCACTTTTCTTATCTATAAAATGATACTTACCTCCTAAGGTGACTGTAAGTATTAAATCACATGTCGAATCCCTGCAGGGGACTTGGCACAAATGAGGCACTTGGGTCTCTCTCTCCACCACTCCAGACTGTAATGGGCTGGAGAGGAGGGGCCAGGTACACAGAGTTCTTTCCGAGGGCATCCCGCACAGCATGTAATTAAGTATCTAATAAATGCTTTTTGATTAAGTTCAGCAGCATCATTGCAGGCAAAAAGCACTTTGCTCAATCACCCTGATTAGATGTTT